GGAGCTGACCAGTCCAAGCCGAGTTCCCCCTCAGCTTTCATGAGGATGCGAATCAGCTCGCTGTCCACACTGGCCCGTGTTGAATTCTTTGGAGGAAGGTTGCCGGGGTCATCGCCGGAACATGACCACTCCTCTGCATCTGAAGCTGTCAGTGACATTGAGTCATCAGCGACAGCGTCCTCCTCAGATCCAATGAAGGAGATCAAGCCGCTCGCTGCAGATGAGGGGCGCTGATCCTCACATGTGAAAATACACTGGCGAGTCAACGCGTTGCGGGGAGAGTGAAGCACGTGGAACCTGTGTCGGCGTGAGTTCAGCTGAACCCGGTAATTCAGTCCTGTTACCCCGCTGTTTCTTCCTCCGAGGTTCCTGGGAGGGGAGAAATGGGAGAGCAGACGGGAAAGGCTCTCAGGGAAGGCAACGGGAACTTGCAGCTACACGAACGTGAACAAACCAGGCCTTAGTATTCAGAGTAAACAGGAGTTTCCCCAAAAGTTTGTCAACACAACGGGAGAGACCGTTCGAAAGGGAACTGACATTAAACAGTTTATTGTAGGCTTTTCAATAGAATTTAAACATTGACACAATTATGAAATCTAAAACAATCCATAGATGTTTGAAGCAAACAGAACCACTGCTACAGAAAAGCTTTTGTGTAATTGGTCTCTTGACTCCAAACAAGCCCTGGACTCCCTTTCTGTCAGGACCACTATCGTCAAAGATGATTGACAATTAGCATACAGTTTGGATTGACGGTATGGTTTTGTTCTGGGCAAGAACTCCCTGCGCATCCATGCAGCCTAGCATGGATGAGAGCAGGGAGAGCAGCGATAACCGCCCAGGGTAAACAGAACACAACCAACATAAATGTATTGCACACATTGTTAAAGTTCAATAATTTTATGTACACATTTTAGAATTAGTCTGATTCAAAGGATAATCAGAAGGCTGAATCCTGACTGACAGAGGAGGAGCTGGGGATGGAGGAGGGTAATTAGCTATTGAGCAATGCGAAAACTGCTGATAATACTGAGGGACCTTATATATGAATGCTTAGATAGGTGTCGTATTCCTATAGGTAGATGGGGATCAGCTGAGAGCTGATGCGAGTTTGACTAACGTAACCTGCCAGAACTAACGCTACGCTTGATTTCTGTCAGTTTGGATTGGTGGTATGGTTCTGTTCTGGGCAAGCATGGCTGAGAGCAGGGAGAGCAGCAATAACCCCCCAAAACAAAACCATATGCTGATATCCCCCAACACAATCTGATAGCAAAATCTCAAAGCCTTAAGCAACAAGCATGTTGCCCTTAACCAAATGACCAAAACAAGTATGTTGCCAAAACCCACATAACCTGTAGCAACAATCATGTTGCCTTTAGCGGATGACCTAATGAGTATGTTGTCGATACCTTAAAAGCTTAAGCAACATGTTCTCAATAACACCAGATAAACTTAAGTAAAACATGTTTCCGATTCAACTACAGCTTTAAGAACAAGCATGTTACGAATAACGACCGGATTGCTCTGGAACAGGCATGTTCCCAACAATGACCAGGTAGCTTAAGAACAAGCATAT